CTTGACTCTCCATGATCCAAGTGGAAGACTCTTGGTGAAGGTCATACGGTCGCCCAACAGACTTTACAAAGTCAACCTGAAGATTGGAAAGCCGATATGTCTAAACACAAGGATAGAGGATGAGACTTGGAGATGGCATGCAAGGTTGGGACATATAAGCTTTAAGACCATGAAAGCTATGTCACAACAGGAGATGGCCTATGATCTACCACAGATTCGAGATGAAAAGGGATTGTGTGAGTCATGTTTAGTCGGAAAACATACTCGACAAGGTTTCCCTAAGACAACAATGTTCAGAGCTTCAAGATCATTGGAACTTCTACACGCAGATCTGTGTGGTCCGATTTCGCCACCAACCATCACAGGTAACAAATACATATTTGTTATCATAGATGACTTTACAAGATACATGTGGTCGATCTTGTTAAAGGAGAAGAGTGAGGCGTTTGGGAGGTTCAAGGTGTTCAAAGAGCTAGTTGAAAAGGAGCTTGGAAGAGCAGTATTGACTCTTAGAACAGACAGAGGAGGAGAGTTTACCTCAAGGGAGTTCTATGAGTTCTGCGAATCAAAGGGGATCAAGAGGCATCTCACAGCTCCTTACACACCACAACAAAACGGTGTTGTAGAGAGGAGAAACCGAACTCTAATGGAGATGACTAGAAGCAGTCTTAAGGCTATGAAGGTACCTAACTACTTGTGGGGAGAAGCAGTTCGACACGCCACATATGTAATCAACAGAGTACCTACAAGAGCTCTTAAGAACATGACTCCTTATGAATTCTTGTGAGAGAAGAAACCAAGTTTAGGGCATCTATGAGTATTTGGGTGTCTTGCATACTCAAAGGTGGAAGCTGCAAATCTTAAGAAGTTGGATGATAGATCACAGATGCTCGTACACCTTGGGATTGAGCCAGGATCCAAGGCGTACAGACTCTATAATCCAGAGACAAGGAGAATTGTAGTGAGCCGAGATGTGGTTTTCGATGAAAAGGCAGGCTGGAACTGGAACAAGCCAAGAGATGGATCAGGAAGGGATCCAGGGATGTTTCAGATGAGATGGGGTGAAGTTATTGATGCAGGAGAAGGACCTGCAGTAATCGGTTATGATGCTGAAGGTGAAGGAATTGAAGAGCGTCAAGCGACACCAACAGCAGTGTCGAACGACACTAATGAACAAGAGTGTCGAGCGACACCATCAGCGGTGTCGAGCGACACCAACGAACTTGAAGCAGATCATAATGCAGAAGAAGATCCACCTAACAAAGCTGATACAGAACAGTCGCTTCGAAGATCATCTCGTCCGATACGCAAGCCAGGGTATCTGGATGACTCTGTCTTACAAGCAGAGATTGAGTGTGAGAGACTGCTACTCTCAATAGATGATGAACCAAGGAACTTTAAGGACGCGAAAGGTTCATTAAAGTGGAGGCAAGCATGTAGAGAGGAGATAGAGTCTATCAACAAAAACAAGACATGTTTTTTAATCGACAAACCAAGGGAAGCAAAGATCATTGGTCTCAAGTAGGTTTTTAAGATCAAGAAGAATGCAGATGGTACTATCAACAAGTATAAGGCGAGACTTGTGGCTAAAGGATATGTACAAGAATCAGGCATCGATTTTGATGAGGTATTTGCACCAGTTACAAGATTAGAAACCATAAGACTATTGATAGCATTGGCAGCATCACATGGATGGGAGATTCATCACTTAGACGTGAAGACAGCATTCTTACATGGAGAATTAAAAGAAGACGTATATGTTGAACAGCCTGAACGATTTGAGATAAAAGGGCAAGAACAGAAGGTATACAAGCTTTCAAAAGCTTTATACGGTCTAAGGCAAGCTCCTCGAGCTTGGAACACGAAGTTAGATCAAATCCTGAGAGGAATGAAGTTCATTAGATGCTCCAAGGAAAGCTCAGTGTATCGCAGAGAAGAAGGAGGATCATTATTGATTGTTGCTATATATGTGGATGATTTGTTTGTCACAGGCAACACTCTGAAGGTCATAAGTGAATTCAAGACAGGAATGGCAACTAAGTTCGAGATGTCAGACCTTGGAATGCTGACTTATTACCTTGGCATCGAGGTTCATCAAGGGAAGGATGGAATCGAAATCAAGCAAGAAGGCTATGCACGAAGGATCTTAGCAGAGTCGGGCTTAGAGACCTGCAATCCGACTTTAATACCCATGGAATTCGGATTAAAGGTTTCAAAGGCTCAAGAAGAAGAAGAAATCGATCATACGTGTTATAGAAGGAATGTAGGGTGCTTAAGGTATCTGTTACACACGCGACCAGACTTGGCTTTTTCTGTTGGAGTTGCTAGCAGGTATATGCAGAGTCCTCGCAAGTCGCATGGCAACATCATGAAGCACATTCTACAGTATCTTAAAAGGACAGTCACGTTTGGCTTGAAGTTCTGTCATGGAGGAACAAAGAAGATCGTTGGTTTTAGTGACAACAGCCACAATGTGGATCCGGATGATGGAAGAAGCACCACCGGACATATATTCTACTTTGGTTCCTCACCAATCACTTGGTGTTCGCAAAAGCAGGACACAGTGGCTCTGTCTTCGTGCGAAGCTGAGTTCATGGAAGCAACAGAGGCGGCTAAACAAGCTATTTGGCTTCAAGAACTTTTGAGCGAGATCACAGGGTGGAAGACTGAGCATATTGTCATCAAGGTCGACAACAAGTCAGCAATGGCACTCACCAAGAACCCAGTATTTCATGGTAAGAGCAAGCATATTCATAAACGCTACCATTTTATACGAGAGTGCATTGAGAAGGAGTTAGTCGATGTGGAGCATGTGCCGGGAGTTGAGCAGAATGCTGAATTCTTACTAAGGCCCTGGCGAAGATCAAGTTCAACGAAATGAGAAGCTTAATAGGAGTCCAAAACATGTCCAAGATCAAGTCGAAGCTTAAGAGGGAGAATGTTGAGTAAGCATCGACATCAAGGCCAAAGCCCATATTGCTTAACAAGTCGGTTAAATTAATTAGATAGGGTTTTGGAATATTTTCTTATTAGATTAGGAATTATCTAGTTCTAATAAAAAAAAGAAAAAGTGTTTAGGGAAGTTGTCCTAACACTATATATATGTAAGTCATTGATGAAATTACATCAATGAGAGATACATACTTTGGTGTTTAATTTTGAGAGATTTTCTAAACATAATAAAAAGAGTTATTCTTTATAAACAGAGTTTGTTCTTGACTTAATCACTTGAATCAAGGCCCAAGTTTTTATTGAAGTTCTTCGTACGAGAGTCTCGTACGTAATCCATGAATCATGATGATGAATCTGCTTTTAGAATGCATATTAACCAGAAGATTCACGGCTGCATGCAGATGAAGTGTTTAATCGATGATATCATCGATCCTCATCTGAGAGTTTGCCATATATTATTTCCGTCGCTTTGTTTGTGTTACTTCTATGTTTCTTGGTCAATAAGTAAGGAATTAGGGTTTCAAACTTGTTGCAATAGGGTTTCACTGAAACTCGATGAAAACATGTAATAAGATCTTCTTCTTTTTTTTTGGGTAAAAGGCTTATGAAATAAGATTTGTATCAAGATCTTTTGTACTTTTTCCAAATATTATATTGTTAGTTGAGTTTAATTAGAGTGTTATCTGTAGAATTACAACTAATAGTTTAATGTGGAAATTAACGAAAATATTTGAGCATATACAACATGTGCATTCGGAAAGTGTTCCGATCAAAGAAACTGATTTCCTTAATCATCGTTGTGTTCCGATCAAAGAAACTGATTTCCTTAATCATCGTTGGGGTCTCTAATGTATTTTAATGCATCAAATATATATTTGAAATAAAATTCACATATGATCACTTCCAAATAATTTGAGAAATCGGACTAAAAAGAAGAACATGTTTTTAAGTCACTTACAAAGTAGGTATGATCGATGACTCAGTTTTGCCAGGTAAGATCTCCAATTTGTAGATTTGGATTTGACAGAACAGAGAAAGTGCAGTCCACGTGACGATGTTATATAATACCCTCGAAAACCTCCTCAATTATCACACTAATTATTGCAAAACGAATTTATTATCTTATATTTTTTGTTGATGTCCCCGGACCCCGAAGGGACCATGATAATTTTGTTATTTTCTGTAAAAGTTATGATTTTATGACCACTGGAACTCAGTTTCCATGTTCATTATTGTTCAAGATGCAGCACCACACAACGAACATGAATTGTTTTGTTGTACTCTAATCAACTCTGGGGCCTATAACTTTAACGCAGCCAAATCTAGAAAATGATATAGCTGAAGAATGTAGTAATTTTATTTTTTGATAATGTTTTTTATATAGGATTAGTTATTGTCAATAAGTTTTTGAACACACAAGATTAAACATATTTTGTTACAAAAAAAAAGATTAAACTTATGGTGACTGTAAAGAAATTAATTTTGATCTATGAAATATAATTTGTGTTCAATTAAAAATAGACATCAACAGAATTTATAATCTAGTGGTTTATATTATTACGGATTTGCGGTCACTATATCATTCTATAGGTTGATAAAATACATTATAAAACTGGCATTTGTTTATGAAATTGAAAAGAAGAAAAAAAAGAAGAGAAAAAATAGGAGAAAGAAAGTGGAAAGAACGTGACATACTGACATAAGCCGAGTTTATAGATGGTAACTGATATATAGAGAGAGAGAGAGTGAATCAATTTATTTACTTGTGCCTTTCTGTTTCTAAAGATCCTCACGCTATTCGGTGTAGTTTTTTCATAATTTGGTTCGGTTATTTGATTCCTTCGGTTTGTAATTTGTATAAAATATGATCATGTTTTTTTTTTCTCTCCATATTATATAATACTTAATTATATTGTTTACGTGGCTCCTTGATATTAACAACATTATCAGTGAGGTAAATTGAAAATGACGGAAGAAAAGAAAGAAAGAGAAAGGTGATTTACGTATTATTTAACAAAAAGGTGATTTACGTATTACTAATTATATTAAATTGATTATTTTTGCAGGTCGAGAGAGAGAGAGAAAGAGAAGAAGAAAGAACTGACGAAGACTGAGAAGACGAAAGAGAAAACAAGATCGGAAGCGAAATTTGACAGAGAGATAATATAATAGACAGAGACAGAGAGAGAGAATGATGGAAGCAGCTGTATTGTTAGGCTAAACAAGATCATTTTTTTTGTTTCTTCATAAATCCTTCTTCTTCTTCTTCTTTCCTCTCTCAATCTAATCTCTTCTCTCGCTTTTTGAAGCAAAAGTTTCTAAATTGGTGAATTTGGGTTTGTAGAAAATGGATAAACGTTTGGATTCGAGGAATCATGTGGTGGAAGAAATCATGAGAATCCATAGATCTTTACCGTCTAGACCAGAGATCGACGATATCGAAGCTGCAACTTCTTTGATACAGAACGTCGAAAAAGACGATCGGAATCGCTTGGAAGCCATTGATAAACAGATTAAAAGCCCCGAGGTTCCTCAAGAGCTTTTCGACGTGTTGCAAGAGATGAAGAGAGGCCTTGTTCGTTTCCACAGCAAAGAACAGAAGAGAGAAGCCACGAAACTACTCGATCTGGAATCTGTACACGTTGTGTTCGACGATTTGATTCAGAGAGCTTCCCAATGCATTGCTTCTTCTCCGCCTTCCTCCAATGGCTCCACTGCTATATCTCGCTCGGTTGTTTCTTCTGATTCTCCGGCGAGCTTGTATCATTCCGATCAGGCTCCTGTCAAGTCCAAGGACATGTTCACGCGCGACGATACGTTTGTGACGAAACCCAAATCTTCCTTTTACAGCGACGGGTTTTTAGCTCCTCGCAAGCCTCAGATTTTGGATTCAACACTTCAGGTTAAGAAAGTCGCCGGTGAGTTTCGATTCCACCTTGAGATAGAATCTGATCTTCAGATTCGAAGAGCGTTTTCATGATTCTTTTGCTTTTCCTTAGGAATCTGATCGGAGTGGGAACCATCATATATATGTGTAGGCCATGAAATGTTTCAACTTTTTGATAGAAAGTGAGCTTAAGATTGATAATAGTGTTTTCATGTGTTTATATATATGTGTAGGCCATAAAAGGTTTAAACTTTTGGATAGAATCTGAACTTAAGATTCGTATTAGTGTTTTCATGTGTGATTACATCGTCTATAATTGTAGTGTAATCATTGTTATGTATTTATGTGTAGGCAATGATAGTGAGAAAATGAGTCTCATAAAACTTGCTAGTTTGATTGAAGTATCAGCCAAGAAAGCTACTCAGGAGCTAAATCTGCAGCACAAACTGATGGATCAGCTCGAATGGCTTCCAGATTCTATAGGCAAGTTATCGAGTCTCGTTAGGCTAGATCTGTCTGAGAATTGCATCATGGTTTTACCGGAAACCATAGGAGGGCTTGTTTCCTTGACGAGGCTCGATTTGCATTCGAATAGAATTGGTCAGCTCCCTGAATCTATAGGAGATTTGCTGAACTTGGTCAACCTAAATCTCAGTGGAAATCAGTTATCATCTCTGCCATCAGCAGTTAGTAGATTGACAAACCTCGAGGAACTTGATTTGAGCTCTAACAGCCTCTCTATACTCCCTGAATCCATCGGTTCTCTCGTGAGCCTCAAGAAGCTCGATGTGGAAACAAATAATATCGAAGAGATTCCGCATAGTATCTCAGGTTGTTCTTCTCTGAAGGAGCTACGTGCAGATTACAACAGACTTAAAGCTCTTCCGGAAGCTGTTGGGAAGATAACCACCTTAGAGATTTTGACCGTCCGCTACAATAACATTCGGCAGTTACCTACAACAATGTCCTCCATGGCTAACCTCAAAGAGCTAGATGTGAGTTTCAACGAGCTTGAGTCAGTACCAGAGAGCTTATGTTATGCCACAACGCTTGTTAAGCTGAACATTGGGAACAATTTCGCCAACCTGAGATCACTCCCGGGGTTAATAGGCAACCTTGAGAAGCTAGAAGAGATGGATATGAGCAATAACCAGATCCGTTTCCTTCCCTACTCGTTCAAAGAGCTTTCACAGCTGCGTGTTCTTAACACACAGCAAAATCCACTTGAAGAACTTCCAAGGGAGATAACCGAAAAGGGCGCTCAGGTAATCTCTTAAACCTTCTTCGACATGTCTAGATTTTGGAGTTTCTCGTCTGTGTAAGTCATAAATGATTGATTCATGCTTTTTGCCATCCTCTCAGGCCGTAGTTCAATTCATGAATGATCTCGTGGAGGCAAGAAATACCAAATCTCAAAGAACTAAGCCAAAGAAGAGCTGGGTCAACAGTATCTGCTTCTTCTGCAAGTCCACCAACTAGACAACACAGAGAAACATGAAGCATCTTGTAAACCAGTCTTTGACAAAATCTGACCTTTTATCATCATGAAAGTCCAAACAACATGAAAGTCCAAACAACATGAAAGTCCAGACAAAGAACCCAATTTCATTTGCATGTTTCAGGCAATTCTGTTATAACCGTTGGCAGGACAGAAGAATCCAGCGGTCTCCACGACAGTTCACAATTCATTCTTTATTCACAATCACATATTCTTCAGACAGTTTCATATCACTCTTCCACGACCGTATACTTGTCTTTGTTCATACCTCGATTATAGGACTGTATCCGGAGGAAAATGTAACTCAATTTGTTAATCTCAAAGTGATTGTATTCTTTGTTTCTCTTGATGCAACTTTCTGCTTTTTGGTGGCTGAAATGTAATTCAATTCTTGTTTCTTTTGATGTACCAAAACTCTCAGTAACAACAAAACAAACTACACAATGGTACTCAAAAGTTGATTTCTATTCAAGGATTAACAATTTAATTACTACCAGCACCTAAAAAGTTAGTTAAATAAGACCAGGTCGTCAAAACCTTCAGCTACTTAGTCATTAAAGAGTTGATAATCTGCCTTCATCAGTGTTCATCCTATGCACCAAATCAGATGGTTTCTTCTGATCCACTTCCTCATATGAAACTCCACACAGATTCTTCCTGCGATTCACAGCACGTTCCAACAGTGTATCGTCTATCGGCTTTCTTAAGTTTTTCCAGCTTAGCTATTTCCACCTTAGCGATTTGAGCCGTAACCTTCTGTAACATAAGAAGAAATTACAGGTCAAGCATAGCTATATCTCTCTTTGATTTTTGTTTTTCTTTTCAAAATCAACAAACTTAAGATGCGTTAACACCATTTCTTGCTTTTACCTGCATTAGATCGTCCATTATCTTATTACTTTTTTTCATCTCAGCCAGATCAGCCTTACGAGCCTGAAACCATGAGAAGACACAGGTCAACAAGACCATAACTATGTCTCTTTTCAAAATCAAACAATTTTCAGACGCATGATACGATTTCTTGCTTACCTTTGCTACGGACTTCACTTCAGCCAAAAACTGAAAAAAAAAAAAAGAAGGAAAAATCAGATGGAGACATTAGAAATCAGCTGTAAACTATATCCTTTCAAAAATACACCATATTTTGTTTACCTGTTCGCCTTCTTTAACTAATCTTTTTGAATAAGGGAATAAAGCATCATCTGAGGAAAAGACTCTTTAATTAAGCCTCTTTCCAAAAAAAAAAAAGCAAAAGATCAGATACAAATCATAGAGTAATCAAAGACCCGAAAGATCCTTTACAGCCACATACGAGTGTAGAATCCAAGAGCAAATATTGCTGATCCCTTCAAACCTCTCCAGAATACTCCATTCTTCTCCTAAGAAGAAGAAAACAAAAACCCTCTTGAAATCTCATCTCATGGTATATCAAGATCAAGCACAAAAGATGAAATCAAGAACAAAAAAGGAGCAACCTTTAACAGAAAAGAGCTCATGATCTTCTTGACTCCTCGGAAATAGAAACCCTAACAATAGAATCGAACAGTAGAAATCCTCTTAACAAAATCGGACGGAAAGAGATGAAACAAACAGAGAAAAGGCATTGACTTGAGATGGGAATGACAAAATGAGCAGACCTAGAAATCCTGTGCGAGTTTTTTCTTCGGTTTCGATTTTGAGTGAAGAGTGAAGAGTGAATAGTGAAGAGTGATGAGTGAAGAGGCAAACAAATACAGATATTGTACATATTTGGGACAGATACAGAAAGCTTTTCAATAAACCAAAGACACAAACCGGGTTTGGTCCGGTTCGTTTTAAAACCCTGGCTCACCTTTCGCTTCACGGTTTAAGTATATACTCAGAACATATTCTCCATCGATATCACCAATTTCATCAAACCAGAACTCTTGCATATATTGATGCAATTAGAGATATTCAGAATTTACATATGTTTAATTTGAGAATAACAGTGAAATTTCTTACTAAGGACAAAGATATAACCATATACCTCTTGTGTTTTGATCGCCAAGTGGTGGGATATTTTTGTTATTATTGCTAAAGGGAAAATCGCATTTTAAACTTTGAGGGATCAAAAAGGTAGCACTTTAAACCTCAAGGGATTTCCGTTAGCATAATAAACTTGTAATCTAATTTTGGTAACACTTTAAACCTTCAATCTTGAATATTTTTTTGCGCCCCCGGAGAACCTAACGGAACAATAACGGAGCCATGACGAAACAGTAAACTCCGGTAAGCTGTTTTAAAACGTGCCTAAATTTAATTATTTTGTAAATCAATTTCAAAACATAATAATTAATAAAAAGGATAAAAATGAGACAAAATATAGAGAGTCAACGTCCCCAAATCGATTTGTAAAGTCAAAATCCCCAAATTAAAATTAGGGTTCGAACACATTAAACCCAGAAAACTGAAAGTGAGAAGAAGAAGGAGATTGAAGATCGGATGCTATCAAGTGAAAATGGGGTAAGGATTTCGCCTCTCTATTCCGCCATGTCCATTTTTTTACTGAACTCATCGATTTCTTCTTTCTCTCCATGTTCGATAGTTTCATTTTCTGGGTTTGGAATTTATGATTTTCTATGTCTATGCTTGTTTTTTGGGTTTGATATTCAAAATCTGGGCTTGGTTTTTTCTTTTTTTACAGTGATACAGAGACTATAAAACTCACCATTCATTTTGGTGGGTTTATGTCAAACAAAGGTGGAGATTACACATACAAAGAAGAGATGGGTTCGACATGCGTGAATTGGAAACTATCACACATTACCTGGAAATTATTTGATGACTTCTGCAGGCTTGAAGCAAAGTTGTTTGCTCCAATTAGGTTCATATGGTATAAAGAGGCTGGGAAAGATATGAAGACAGTGAACTACGTCTTTGATGATAGTCTTGAAGACATGTTTCCGCTGGTTTTGTTAGGGCAACATTCGCGTGAGCTTGATATATATGTCGAACATGACATTTCAGAAAGCAGCGAGACTGGAATCATTCATTTGCTACCATGTAGTCAACATGGTGAGGACCGTAAGTTGAGTTCTAATAATGAAGAACGAGAGAATGAAGACTTCAGGTCAGATAGTGATGCAGATGTGGAAAGGCCAAAAGAAGATGAAGAACCTGAGCAATCTGAGGACGAAAGACATGATGAAGGATATGATGCTGAGGGTGAAGATCAAGAGAAGGCCGACGGTGAGGATGAGTTTGATGCTGGTGATGGAGCTGCGAATGTGTTAGATGCGGAGGTAAATGGAAATGAGAACATAAATCAAATTGATGAGGGAGATGAAGTAATTTTAGATGCAGGTGATGGAGCTAATGATGATCGGTTTAAGTCAGTATTTGAGGAAGGTTCGACGATTATACCAGATGGAGAGACATATAAAAATACTGATGAACAAGATGAAAATGCGAGAGAAGCAGCATTGAGTGACGAAGAATGTATTTTGGAGGAGAATGCACACTATCCGGATACACCAGTTGAGTCAGAGGAGGAATGGGAACAATGGGCTAATCCCAAACGCAGAAAAACGAAAAAGCATAGAAGGAAAGACCAGTTTCATGGGGACTTGGATAAAGAACCATACATATGGTTATTTCAGAAGTTTAACAGTGGTTTAGAGTTTAAGGATCAATTGTTGCGGTATTCGCTGAAGACCCAATATGATGTGAAGATGGCTAAGTCAGAAGCAAATAGGATAGCTGTTATTTGCAATGGGGATAAGAGTCAGAACGACAAGAGGAATGAGGATAAGAATAAGAAGGGTAAGAGTAATAAAGATAAGAATGAGGAGGGCAAGTGTAACTTCAGAGTCCTTTGCTCCTATGAGAAACCTATTAATAAATGGATGGTGAAGGTTTGTCACATGCATCACAATCATCGGAAGACAAGCAGGGTTTCAATGCTGAAACAAGGTGTTATTGCTGGGTTATTTAAAGAGGAGATCAGAAGAAATATTGGGTTGCCTGCAGCTGAGATTAAGGATGCAATAAAGGACAGATATAACATTGTCGTTCCTTTGTCTAAGTGCTACAGAGGAAGACATATTGCCTTGGACTCTACCCTTGAAGCTCAAACTACACAGTTTGGAAAACTGTGGGACTATGAGTCTGAGCTCAAACGTACACATCCAGGTATCACAACTGAGCTATCAACAGTCAATGTTAACGATATAGACATGTTTGACTGCTTCTACATATGCTTCGAAGAGTTAAGGGATACTTGGAAGAGTTGTTGTAGACCGGTGATCGGTTTAGATGGATGTTTCCTTAAATGGGAGTTGAATGGAGATTTGCTTGCAGCAGTTGGTAGAGATGCTGATAACAGGATGTATCCTATTGCTTGGGCTGTAGTTAGAGGTGAAAATAAAGACACTTGGGGTTGGTTTGTGAAGAAGCTGAAGGCAAACTTAGACTTAGGGTCTGGAGACAAATTGACAATCATTTCTGATAAGCAAAAGGTAATATTTGCTATTTACTATCGTTTATAAGTGTTTTAGAAGCGTTTACAATCATTTTTTACAAGCGTTTACATTTTTTTGCATTTATTGTTTACAAGCGTGTTTTTGTGCTTTTCAGGGTTTGGTGATTGCTATAGAGGCTGAGCTTCCAAATGCAGAGCACCGTATGTGTGCTAGGCACATATATGCTAATTGGAAGAAGCGTGGGTTTTCAAGATCAGAGTACAAGACTTTGTTTTGGGGTGTAGCATACAGTTACACAGAATTTGAGTTTGACGAGAGGATGAAATCGGTGGAGGCATATGATCCAGCTGCATATCAAGCCTTGCTAGAGACAGAGCCATATCGATGGTGCCGTGCCTTTTTCAGTGTGGAATCTCATTGTGCTGATGTGCACAACAATCTATCTGAGGCTTTTAATAGGACCATCAAGATGGCTAGAGCAAAACCTGTGATAACCATGCTTGAGGATATAAGAAGACAAGCCATGAGAAGAATTTCTAGAAGACAACTAAAGGCTGACAAGTGTGACACCATTGTTACACCAATAACAATGGCTTTGTTGGAAAAAGCAAGGCTTGAGAAGAGGTATTGCTCTACTTTACGCAGCAGCAAGAATGTGTATGAGGTGGATGAGTTTACTTGTGGCTATACAGTCAATTTGTCCACCCACCAATGTGCCTGTCGGAAATGGGATCTAACAGGTATATCATCTTACATCTTCATCTGATTGTCTTTGTTTGTTTTCATTATCATCTTGATCAATGTTTTTTTTTTAATGCTTATGACAGGGATCCCATGTAAGCATTGTGTGTGTGTTCTAGACGATAATCAAGATGATCCAATACGCTATGTTGCTGAGTATTACTACACCCGTGTGCTGAAAAAGACGTATGAAGAGAACATCAAACCTGTCAACGGTGAGAAGCTATGGATTAAGACACACAAGCCGCCAATGGCTATACCTGAGATGCGTAAGCCAAGAGGACGACCGAAAAACAGAGACAGAGCCAAGGAGCCCTTTGAAGATCTACAAAATCCAGGAAAAGCAACAAGACATGGAAACAAGACATGGAAGGATTCCACATTGCGGCAACTGTGGTGAAGCTGGTCATATAAGAACAAGTTGCAAAAAAGAACCAGTTGTTGTAGAAGGTCCAAAAAACAGACGTGGTAGACCATGTAAACCACCAAGTGAGGTAATACTAGTTACATTAGTTTAGATAACTTGTAATTTGTTAGCTTATGACTGTCTAGTTATTTTTGTATTCTATTTTCAGTTCCCGAGTCATCCAAAGCCACCACCGAAGCCAAGAGTAAGAAAGACTCCAGCCACAGGAAGTAGCTCACAACCGGTAAGTCTCTCATTACCGTTATTTTCAATTAAAAATCTAATGTTGCAACTTGTAACCGATGTTTATTTCATCTTGCAGCAAGCCAAAAGAGCTAGAGAGGCCACAAGTTCTACGACAGCTTCCCAACAAGCAGGTGAATCAAGCTCGCAAACGCCAGTGATTTGTAGTGCTCCAGAACCATCACTTTCATCTGCTCAAGTGAAACCACATGTCAAAAAACCTTCAAGAGGGCGACCATTGAAGGTAAAGAAATCGGCTGGTTACATTCCAAATGGTTCTGGAACATTCTGGAGTCCGTACACAGATCGGCCATTTGAGGTATTTGGGAACAGAGTCTATGACAGATCCGAACTGAACCCACATCCTCAACAAAACTCTCAAGAGAACCAGCCAGAAGGAGATGCAGGAGATGCTCAGCAGTAGTGTGTTTTAGAGTCTTAACATAGGTGCAACTTGTTTATCAGCTCTATTTTTAGACTTTTTTTTTGGTGTTTTAAACATTGCTTTTGTTTTGGCTTGTTTGGTATGACTTATTGTATGTTGGATTGAAGTTTTTAGACCTTTCTCTTTCGTTTTGAAGTGTTTTAGACATTGGTTTTGTTTTGGCCATTCTCTTTCAAATCCTGATAATGTCTAAACTTTAACAGCAACAACGACAATGTCTTTATTCAAATAAAACAGCAACAATGACAATGTCTAACAACAACAAATACAGACATAGATTCAAATACCATAATTTAACTACTCTAGAGACATAAGGTATTGTACAGTGCTTTTCTCCTTCAAAACCAACACTTCCTGCTTCAGGGCTTCACATTCTTGCTTCAAATTCTTAATCTCCTCCTTTTGCTCTCGAATAATATCCCTTGCTTCCAACAAAGCAAGATGTTGCCACCCGTGTGGCTTTTCAACATCAAACCAACAAAAAAACTTGCAACTTTCATATCCATTACCAACTCTCCATCCTCCACAAGTATAGAACCTTCGTGCAGTGTTTGCATCAGTCCAAGCTTTGACAATTTTTGCTGGCTTGTTACAGTAACACAAAACGCATTTGTGATCCTGCTTTTCACTTGATGA